CCCCGGGCCCCCAATTATGGTAGCCTGTCAAGAGCTCATTGAATTAATATCGAAAATTCTAAATTTGTAAACAAACTTTCCACAATCCATGAAGTGCTGAACTACGTTTTTTTTAGTTTGAAGGAATTAAAAAATTGCTATCATAACAAATAAAACTATAATGTCTATAGTTTCAATTATTTTAGCTCAATTTTGTTTATAAGTTCTTACACGCATGTAAGAAAAATTCCGCGCGAATTTATACAAGTGATTCAAAAATTTGTGTAATAATTTTAATTACGAATACTCCTCTACAAATGAGCATAGATAGCACAGCATTTATTAATCCAACTCATCAAGCAATAGAAAAATTACAGTTTTTATAATCATCAAGAAATAAACAAATGTGGCTTTGGATTTAATAAAATTTACATTAAATATGAGAGCATTGATTCTTTCCAAGGTACGCTCAAAATTTATAAATTCTAATTTTCTAGCGCGGTGTAGAATTTAGTTGAAACTCAAATAACTCGAAAACGCTACATTTTGGCGATATGAAACTACCTTTTTTATAAAAAAAAAATGTTTGGGCTCTATCAAAAACAGAAATTAATAAGCCGAAAAAATTATCCCAAAACTGGGAGGACCCATTACTGCCATTACTACTACAAGACTTCCGTTTACACCAAATCAAAGAGTGTCTTTTTGTCCATGCAAAATTTAATAATAATCGGATAAACGGTAACAAAAATATTTCCAGAAAATCATCGACTATTGGAAAGTTGTAATTTTTCTGTTTTTTGAGGTGGGTCAATAAATACTGTACTATCTATTCGTAATTAAAATTATGCCACACATTTTTTAATCAATCGATATAAAATATCGTTTTTACTTAATTTAATGTAATTTTAATTTATTTTTTTTTAATTATTAGTGGGCATAAATAACATAAAAATCTAAATATAAGTGCACAGAAACGAAAAACTTTATTTTCGTTTATTAAACTATCATGATTTCAACTGACGTCACAATCTCAATAGAGGAAACAAACTCCTTCAAAAAAAATTACTACATTAAGTTTTTATACATATTTTTATTGTATTGTATATTGGGCCCTCATTTCAACTTAGCATTCCATATAAAAATTTGTAAGTCCGCCCCTGGTCAAAATCATTGGATTGTGCCCAACACTAGTAAAAGCGCCGGAAGAAAGGGTTCAAAGCTGTGTTTTTAGGCCGCTGTGCAGCCGGTGGTGAGCAAGGAAGTCCCCGATATGGACTTCGGCAATTTCGACATCCCCATCTTCACCGAGGAGTTCCTGGACCACAACAAGATGCGCGACTCCGAGTTGAGACAACTCCGGAAGTCCAACACGGACTACGAGCAGCAAAACGCCATTTTGCATAAGCATATCGAGAATATGAAGGACGCGATCGTGAAGCTCGAGTCGGAGATCTCGCAACAGGAGAAGAACAACGCCTCGTTGCAGAAGCATCTCGACCATTTGCGGGGCACGCTCACTAATGGGTTCTCGGGGGTGAAGCTCCCGGGGGTCAAGGAGGTGGCCACGCAGCAGAATATCGATTCGTATATGACGAATCTGCATTCGATTCTTCTCGAGAATAGCACACACGACGCTAATCTTTTACAAACTGTTAGGAATATTGTAGGGAGGCTCGAGTTTAACGGATGACAAACAAGTCGGGCTTCCAAAAGGAAACGAAAAGCTAAAAAAACGTAACTTTTTTACAGCCACTTTATTTCACTTTCAGAGTGGGGTTTTATGATTTGAGTAGTTATAATGGTCCTGTGATTCATACGTTAGGTATTGTGTAATTAATTAATTCATGTATTTAATATTCTGTCAATAAATTTCATAACGTATTTATGAAACTGGCTTTTTTAACCCCATAATAAAAAATCAATAGGGCGCAAACTTTCAAATCGTTAGAAAAGCAAAAAATTGAAATCTAGATTTTTACATTTTCTTTCAATTATTCTTATTCAATTATTCAATTCAATTCTTAAATAATTAATAATTCGATAATAATTAATTATTCAATTATTAAATTCTATTTTTTACCCCAGACATTGATTATTTTGTACTTAATGTTAAAGAGTGCTTTTATCAACTAATTTCAGTAAATGAAGCAGTTTTTTATCGTCTAGTGAAATAAACTAATTTTTAGCTACTGTTTATATTCAAGAAATTCTGGTGGGTGAGTACAAAATAAAACGAAATATTATACACGACGATAAAGATTGTTTATCTACTCGTGAAAAAAGTCCACTCGTAAACTTAACCTTTTTACTCGTAGATAAACAATTTCTTTATCGTCTTGTATAATAAATAACTACTTATTATTTAAAAAATGTGCCAAAAGGACAACAAAAAGATCAATACTATCATTACCGAAGTCTGGGTTAGAATATGGAGCAAATAGTATATTATGTCACAAGGTAGAAAAGAGATTTTTTATAGCCGAGCTGTTTATTTCCCAAGATGCGCAGCATTCAAATCAAGATTTCCACGTTTTCTTTCAATCACCCTTCTTAAAAAAATACCCCGGAGATTGATTATTATTTATTAAAAAATATACACAAAAGTCAAAATAACGACGAAAAAATCAATACTGTTTTTTTTTAGCGAAGTCAGGGGAATAAGGAGCAAAAAATTATTATTTATTGAGTGATCACGTAATAGTTTTGCTACCCAATTTTCACTACTGGTGTTAATTATATTAATTATACAGTTTGTTTCTACTTTTATCGTCAGTAGATAAGAGAAAATATTTTTTTTTCCATTTTGTTGCCTTGAATCGTATTTAATATTCAATCAGTAAAAATTAATATTGCAATGAAATTGTGTTGTTTACTTTTTTTCTAATCATATTAAAGAATTCCCATACTTACGTTTTCAGTTGAGAAAATTGTTCAATCTTCAACTTTTGAGAAAATTAAAAAAAAGATCAATGTGTATGTTGGCAATAAAAAGAAAATATGTAGAAAATTAAATATTACTTATTATTTAAGATTAGATAAAGTATAGTATTAAACTCGTAAGAAATGGCCAATTTTCTTACTCGTTGAATAATATACTATTACTCTAGAGATTGTACAAATATACATTTACTTTTTTATTATTTTTATATTGTTTATTATTTTTTTAATGTAGTTTTTTACTTCCGAGATTGACTCTTTAAAACATATACAGAAATATTGTCAAAATAACACAAAATCAATCTTTTTTATCGATGACAGGATTAAAATGACCAAAAAATTTCTATTTATTAAATGATCAGAATATGTTTTTTGTTCCTATTTGAAACTTACAAATTGTTAAAAAAAAATAATAATAAATTGAAATCAAGATTTCTACATTTTTTTTCAATCTTCTTAATTTTTTTTACCCCACAGATTGATTATTATTTATTAATGAAATATACACAAAAGTCAAAATAATAACACAAAAAATACCGAAGTCAGAGTTAAAATAGGGAGCAAAAAAATATTATTTATTGAGAGGTCACTCGGTACTTTATCATTCATCAATTTATTAGTTTTTCAAAAAAATAAATAGTTTAAACAAAAAACGTTTGGTTCCTACTTTTTATTCACCTGTATGTAGAAAAATTGACCAGTTCTTATACAGTTATTTTATTTATTTGTAGTTGCTGAAGAAGTGTGTTATTACAATTTTGAATAAAAAAATGCTAGAAAATCTTATAAAAAATGTTTCCCCGCCACTGGTGTGTGTGTTAAATGTTGTCGCTATGACAACTTTTATTTTTGCACCTTTTCGTTTACCATGGTTACGTCCATTTCTACAGCAACTACAATAACCTGCTTCTCAGTCGACTCGTCAACGATAGAAAAGGGGTTCTTGCAATACATTTTCAAAATACTCGAATGTTTTTAATTTTTCAAAGTTGTGTCAGACACACATATAAAAACCTTGCGTTTTAATTAATTAATTAAGCTAAAATGCATTTATGGACACGTTTGATGATTTATATCTTGTACCCTCAGCAGCACCTACATGATGTTTTTGTGGTAAATTAACCTCACGTTTATTGCGTGCACAAAACTGATAATAATTAAAGTCGAGTTAGGGCGATATTAATTTTAGACTTTCCAACTATCTGATAACTTCCACTATCACCAAAAATCCTTTGTTCATTAATTACGAGACTGTGAGAGTTTTAAGTTTCTGTTGAAATAAAATTGTGTTGAGCTCATTATTATTAATTATTATATTGGGTGTGGCTGTGCTAATTGTCGCTCATTTCGGGATCGATAATCCAACCGAAAAGTTTTCTTTTAAATTTCGTAAACACGTTGTAATGTTGGGCGTTTAATGCAAATAAATATAAATTATGGATGAACCCTTTAAGTCGCTCTATGCAAATCTCCAACTCTCAAGTTGCTCTTCTTGATTACAAGATTTTTCTCATTATGGTGATTAAAACATAATACGACTGTGACTGAAATAATTGGCTGAAGACTCATTAAGGAACGCAACAGAATGAAATTGAAGAAAGAATATTTGTATTTATTTGATATAATTTAACGTTTTCTCAAGAACAAAATTTACAATCAATGCTTAAATGCTCCTCATTCTAATCCTCTCGGCAATAAACAACTACAGGATGCGCCAGAACTCGTGCCCCAGAGAAAAATTTCAGCTTCTATATGTCAAAGAATTTTGACAATTATTTTTTGACATTTGACATTCTTTTATGTTTATTTAATGATACTGATGATCTTGTATATGTTTTTTTACAATTATTTAATAAAGTTTTTGCTAAAAATTTGCTAGTAAATACCACAAGTAACATTGAACAGAGTTACAATTTAGGATACAACTTTATTGTTTCCTCTTCTAATAGCCAGAAGCAAAATTTAAACTCTCGTAACTTCGAAATTTTTATAGATAATTTTTTTTAACATTTTTTCCATGATCCCTGTGTCTTACCTTATATGGTATTTTTCTCTGGGGCGCGAGTTCTGGCGCACCCTGTATTTTGTTTTTGCCCACATTTGTGTGTTCAGAAATAAAATTAATAACTAAAAGAATTAAAAAATATTTATATACTCGACAAGTAATAATTTTTCTTTCCCTAGTCTAACTCTCTTTCCGTAAAAAAAAACTATTGATTTTGTCAATTCCACCATATTTGTGCATATTTCTTACATAAATAATCAATGAGTGGGATAAAAAGAGTAAAAGATTAAAGTAGGAAGCAAAACCATCAATAAATGATTATTTTTTGCTCCCTATGCTAACCCTAAAAATATATTGATTTTCTGTTGTTTTGTGTATTTTTTACATAAATAATCCAGGTCTCCAATCAAAAATAAGAAAGCGTTTTTGAACGTGTTATAACTATTCCTGAATTTTCGTTGGTAAAATGGAGCCACCCTGTATAAAAAAAATTAGTCAGTTTTATGAAATTATACTAGGTGACAACAAAATGCAACAGTATAAAATTTTAGTAATTTTTCTGTTACTATGAACAAAGCGAGTTAATTTTTTTCATTAATAATGTTGAAAATTCACGTTTTTAAACGACAAAAAAATTATTTTACATAATATTGTACTTCCTGTAATAACAAAAAAGTTGTCAAAACTTTATAATAGTGCATTTTTAAAGTTATCTGGTATATGGTGTATACAGGATGTGTCAGAACTTGCGCCCCAGAGGAAAATTTCAACTAAGATAAGATACCAAGAACATGAAAAAAATGTTTAAAAAATTCTATCTGTCAAAAAATTTTGACATTTATTTTTTGACGTTTGGCATTTTTTTATGTCCATTTAATGATACTGATAATTTTGTATATATTTTTTTGCAAATAAAAACCACAAATAACATTAAACAGAATTACAATTTAAGATACAGCTTCTTTGTTTCCTCTTCTAATAGCCTGTAAGAAAAAAATTGGACAATTATTTTTCTAACAGAAAGAAATAGTCAAAGTGCAAAATTTAAACTCTTACTTTACATGGCATTTTTCTCTGGGGCACGAGTTCTGGCGCACTCTGTATAAAATAATTTGTTAATTTTATGCAGTTATTTTTTTAACAGTTTACAAGATTTTATAATGTTGCTTTAGTCAAAAAAATATTTAAAAAATTAGTAATAATAATCTCTCATAAAGCAAATAATATACAGGGTGTTCGTACAATTTAACTCAAAATCTAAATAAACGTCAAAAAGGGATGGAGTACTCGTATAAGAAATATAGCTTGGCTTCAATTTTTGATAAAAGTAGCTTGTGATTTTAAAATTAAGTTGGCACTATTGCACATCTTTTGCGTCTATTTTATTCAATATTGCCAATCTTATACAATCATCGGCTACTCTGATCAAAAGTTATTTATTCAAAAACATTTCTGCATATAAAAAACTAAAAAAAAAAAATTTGTTCATTTATAAGATTACAAACCAAAATTATTTTTTTGTAACTCACAAATTTGGTAATTTTTTCTCATCAATAAAGAGTTAAATTCCCAACATTGAACAATATGAAATTTCATATCTTGTGTCTCTGTTTTATTCAGTATTGCCAATCTTATCCAATCAATCCATTTTACACTGATTTTCTTTATTAATAATGATAAAAACTTACGTTTTTACAGAACTGCCATTTTTTTTTCAAAATAATATAGGATTTACAAAAAATAATAGTTTTTTATGATAATCATAGTCGCCTGATTAAATTGAATTGACACACTGAATAAAATTGAAACAAAACATACAATGTTTCATGTTTTTCGTTTTTACATTGTTCAATGTTGCCAACTCAATTTCAGAAGAGACATTTTGTGTAAATATAAATATTTTTATGAAACATTTAAAAAAAGAAAAATCCGGTTATTCACCGGATGTCACCCAATTCCCTAAACTGCAGAATCCATAAACCCGGATTTGTGCCTTGTGAGGGCCTGGAGTCGGCAGTAAAATCCTTGAAACGCCCATAAAACATCAATCGTTTCCCCATTCTGATAAAATTATAAATAAATCCCACGTTTCTCGCATCACCGGAAAGCCAATTTCTGGCCAATTAATTTAGGCAAACACAAATTCTTATCTAAAGTCGTAAATTCATCAGCACATAGACCATAAAAAAGCGGCTGATTTGAAACTGCGAAACCTCCCATAATCCGTCCATCTGTTGATTCCTGATAACAACAACGTAAAAAAACACACATTTGTGTGTTAATTAATTTGGCTTTCTTCATGGCATTCCGTGACATTTGTCGCAGATTTATGATCATGTAATTTTCGCATCGAAAGGTGCAACATGTTGTCGGTAATCCGATTAAATAAAATTGAAATATGAGGACGGTTTTATCAATGGGCTTGAACCGGGGGTGTACGAATCGTACGCAAAATCATGCACCTACCTGAAAGAGGACTGTATATAGGGACAGGCGTCGCGACGCCGATCATTTCAAGCGACGCACCTGTTGAGACTGCTCCGGTGATTTCAACGATAGGTTATCAGGGTTTCAGTGAGCTGTGTTTCAGCGAGTGCCCAGACGAGGTTTTCAGCCCTTCTTAAAGGTAATTTAACTCAACCCTAATTAGTTAATTAAACAAATGGAATTATCATATCTCATGTGATGTAATTAATAAAAAATAATTTAATTGAGTCTAGTTTTAAACATGCACAATTTTGAGAAGTTAGCTTCTATTATTTTCTCGAACTTTGTTCTAATAATCTTGATTTTGTCACTGTCTCAATCAAATTGATCGATTAATTTGATTCCAGTTTTAATTAATTCGAAAAAATGCCCGAAGAAGGTTTGACATGGTACACTGAACATATGAAATTTAAATTTTTGTACGGACACAGGTGTTATTTTAGCAAAAAATTATGTAATAATTAATTCAGATATTGATTTTTTGTTAAATTAGTAAAAATTTTTTTTTAATTTTGTAATAATATTCGTTCAAAAGATAAATGATATACAGGGTGTCCGCACAATTTAACTCAAACTCTAAATAAACGTCAAAAATAATGAATTCAGTATGAGGAATATACACAGGTTTTAAAACACAGGGTGTTTTAACACACAGAGACAGGAACATAGAAAAAATGTTAAGAAAACTTCTATCTATAAAAATTTCGGGAGTTTAAATTTTGCACTTTGACTCTGTTTTTGTTAATTGCTAAATAATTATAAAAAAACATGCAAAATTATCAGTAACACTAAATAAATATAAAATGTCAAAATTTTTTGACAGATAAATTTTTTTCAACATTTACTGGATTTCTGTCAATAAAACAATGATTTTCCTCAACAAAACGACATCTTATTTCTTTTTAAATCAAAGATGTAAATTTTTTTTTGTCATTTTTTCTTTTTTGCCACAAAGTAAGATTCCAGGAACATAGAAAAAATGTTAAAAAAAATTCTATCTATAAAAATTTCGAAATTATAGGAGTTTAAATTTTCCACTTTAACTTTGTTTTTGTTATTTGCTAAATAATTATAAAAAAACATAAAATTACACTAAATAAATATAAAATGTTAAAGTTTTTGACAGATAAAATTTTTTCAACATTTTTCTCATGTTGCGAGTTTTGAAACACTCTGTATAGCTTGGTTTCAGTTTTTCATCAAAAATGGATTGTGATTTTGAAATTAAGTTGGCGACACTGAACAATATGACAGAATAAGAGACGAGAATATGTCAAATTTTATACTTATTTTATTAAGTATTGCCAATCTAATCCAACCGTAGGCGACTATGATTAGAAAATATTTAAAAACATTTACTGGACTTTTGTAAATAAAACAACGATTTTCGTCAACTAAACAAGAGATGTTGTGACGTGAAATATTTTATAAAATAATAAATATAAATATATAATAAAAATAAAATGAAATAAAATATAATAAAAATAAATAAACAAAAAAGTTTTTTGTTTATTTTATAAGATTAGAAACTAAACAAAACACCAATTTTTTCATATAAAACGTTTTTTTAAAACAGTTTTTTATATGAAACATTTAATAATTTTTTCTCAACAGTGAAGAATTAAGTTGGCAACATTGAACAACATGACAGAAAAAGAGATGAGAATTAACGTATCAAATTTCATGTCATTTGTCTCTGTAGTATTGCCAATCTTATTTAAAACTTTAAAACATATTTTGTTTTTTTTTATATTAGAAACTAAAAAAAACACAAAAATGTAAAATCTGTTTAATTTAATAAACAATTTTCACCAACATTACAACATTTTGACAATTGTTTATTAAATGAAACAAACTTTATTTTTTATAATTTTTAATTTAAATCATAATATACATAATAAATAATCAAAAAAAATTTGAATTTTTTTTGCAACAATTTTTTGTAAAATATTATTTCAGTTTTTTGAGATTTACTTGTTATTAAAAATAATTATGTAAAACAACGGTTTTCGTTCTGCAATTTTTCTAAAAACGGAAATAAGCGTAAAGAAATTTGTATTTTAGAATTTTAAAGCTCGCTTTATTCATATCAAAAAAGTTGATAAATTTTTATAGTGTTACATTATTTGATTTCATTTAGTATATGAGCATAAAAAAAATAGTAAATTTTATGCAATTATTTCTAAAAAAAAATAGTGCAGGCTGGTAATTTTTGTTCAAGTCACATTTTTTATATACAGGGTGTTTTCTTAATATTGCGAAAAATTGAAACCACATATTTTACATCGAAAAATAACACTAATTTGTCGAGTAAACAATAGTCTTATAAAGCTTTGTTACGGATATACAGGGTGATAAAGTTTCATGATAAAAACTAAAATCCACCATTTCCTGAACACATATTATTTTCATAATATTTTATAGGCTTTATGAGGCATTGAAAGCACTTACTTTCCGACGATTACTTTATTTTTTTTGCTTACCAGTGGCGTGCATATAAGCATATTTTTTTATTAGTGTTGTTTTTCGATGTAGAATAGTGGTTGCAATTTTTCTCAATATTAAGAAAACACGCTATATATTAAATACAGAAAATCTCACCCAAAATTTTTTCAATTAATATCTCTGTTATTAATTGAGTAAAATACTTCAAACTTAAAATGTCAGAGAAAAAATAAGCATTCTCTTACATGAAATTAATTAGAGCAAGTATTAAAAAAATAGTGTTTAAAAAATTATGAAACAAAACTTGATTTCAGTATTTCCAAAATAGGACTTGTTTCTTAAATTTCTGTCAAAAATGCCTTTTTCAGCTTTTGAAAAAATTATTGTTTAAAAATAAACACAAAAAAATAAATAAAAACGAATTGACTATAAATAATAAAAAAATTGCGATACTCATAATAAAATTCCAAGTCCTCATTATCATTATCACTATGAATCACAATGATTAAAAAATTTAAACATTAAACTATTTTTACACTAATTATTATTAATTATTTACACAGGGTGTTCCAGCTAAGACTTATTTCCCTCAAAAAGCACTAAAAAGAGAAGAAACTTCTGCTTTAGAAACCGTGAATCAGAATTTAAAATTTTATTAAAACAACAGCGATAAACCTTACCAGCCACAAAACTTAATTAATTCGAATAAAACTAACTTTTTATTGTTAATTTTATCAAGTGAAATGCGGTTGGGGTAAATTAAACTTAATCTTATTTTGGATATCATAACATGTGGGGCCCCTTTGATGTATCTAATGCGTCAATATTATCCAACAGCAACATTGTTGAAAAGGCCACTTACAATGTTGTTGTTTATTTGGGGGAAACACAGTGAGATGCAAAGCACTCTGCGATGGTTAGTGTTTAAAAAAAATTGCTCAGTAAATTTAATTTACGATTTGACTATCGCAATAATTATTTAGGTACAAAATGCACGAATATTAATTTTAATTTGATTTAAATTGATCTGTCGTGCGTTATGTGAAACAACCAACTTTTTTTTTCAATTCCAATGAGAGAAAAGTGCAACTTTTTGTGAAACATGTATTAATTAACATTTGCCCTTTTTTATTTGTAAATTTGTGGTTGATTGAATTTATTTAAACGGCAACCACAATCAATTATCGACGTGAAATAATTTCCTCGTACTAAAATTAGCGGAATTTTCCAACATGCTAATTAAAGGAAACAAAGACTTTTGTTTGGAAGAAAACTCCTCATTACCCGCCCGATTTTTGCATTTTTCCAAAACCAAATCACGTCTTAGGACCATTAATTACAAATTCAAGACGTAACGAAGCCGCTTTGATATTTTAATAATCCGAACAAAGGATGCATTACGACATTTGCATTTTTGAGGGAAAAATTGCTAATTAGTTGTTGAAACTTATCAATTTTGCTGCCATATGGTGGCGTTATTTTTGGCCCAAGAGCGGAAATTAGAATTGATTGTGCGAGAAAAATGCATTCTCTTTTATAGATTAAAAGAAATTACAGCGTTGTTGAGACGGAGGCAAATGAAAGGAGCTTCGTGCAATTACACCTCCCTCGGACTTATAAATCAAAATTAAAGCTCAACTTCTAAACACCTAATAATTTATTGCCATTTAACTCGCGTTATTCGACCAAAGTGCAAATTGTCACCTTAATTGTTACAAAGCGACGTTTTCACTCGTTTAGGAAGCAACAATTAAAGTGTCTGAAAAAATACTCAAACTTTCCTAATCTACAACAAAAAAATACTAATAAATTAATCAAATCTGATGTTTTATTTTTATTGGTTTTATCTCTTGATTTCAAGCACCACATGTTTTCAGTCAATAAACAAAACACCAGTGTTAAAAATAATGTTTATCACAAATATTATAAAATATATAACAAGAAGTTATATTGGTTAAAAAATACTTAAATATTTTTAGCCCGGCGCATCCACCAAATTTGTTAGTTTTTTTTAATTTATAACGTGAAAACTAGGGGTTTTAGGTCAAAACGGTGTAAACGGATGAATTTTCCGGATTATTTTACGTAAGATAGCAATTTTTGATAAATTAAAAAAAATTTTTTGTAATTTTAAAAATAATGTTTATCACAAAAATTATAAAATGTAACAAGAAGTTTAATATTGGTTAAAAAATACGTAAATGTTTTTTAGCCCGGCGCATCCACCAAATTTGTTAGTTTTTTTAATTTATAACGTGAAAACTATCGGTTTTAGGTCAAAACGGTGTAAACGGATGAATTTTCCGGATTATTTTACGTAAGATAGCAATTTTTGATAAGTTAAAAAAAAAATTGTATTTTTTTTTGGTTACTGTTCATGTTGATTTTCAGCGATAACTTTGAAAGTATTAGTTTGGCACCGTTAAAAATTAATTTTAGTTTTGCATCCTTTGAAAAAAAGAATATTGACCTGAGATTAATAGTTAGCGAAATTTGTGATGTATCCAACAGTTAAAAATTTTTAAATTTTTTGATAATTTATAAACCACTTTGAATTTTTCAGTTTTCTTGGCACCAAACGACTTATATTTTACATTAATTTTAATTTTAAATTTAAGTTTTACTATTAATTTTAATTTACCTTTCTGAAAATTTACGTAGAAAGTTACAAATTAAGAAATAGTCTTTTTTTTAATTATCAGGATTATTTTACTGTTTTATTTTTGAAGATTTTTTTGTTACTCTTGACGTGGATTTTCAGCGATAACAAGTATTAATTGTAGCTTTTTATGTTAAGCAACGTTGGAATTAATAATAATTAATAATGACTTTAATTTTCTTTTAGTCTCAGGACGATAAACATTTTTTTTTAGAAAATAAAAAATTAAAACTAATTTTTTTTACTACGAATTATACTAATTATACTACGACTTATTCAGTTTTCTTGTCGCCAGACGACTTTTTGAGACATTTTACTTTAATTTTTGTTTAATTTGAATTTTACTTTAAATTTTAATTTAACTTTTCTGAAAATTTAGGCCGAAATTGACAAAACAAGAAAAAGTCAAATTTTTGAAAACTATTGATGTTAGGTCTAAACGGTTCACACATATGATTTTTTTTTAATAATTTTATGTGAGCTAGTGATTTTTGATAATTTTGGAATTTTTTTTATTTCTGTTTTCTCTATATTTTTTTTTTAGTTACTTTTGACGAGTATTTTTAGTAATAATTTTTCAATTATTGGTGGTAGCCTCTTATGTTTAACACTGCTGGAAAACGATTTTAATTTTCCATCTTCAAAAAAAAAGATTATGGTGCTGGGAGAGAGAGAGAGAAATTCCAAAACCTTTGATAATTTTTAATCTCCGAATTATCCATTTTTATTACCGCCAAACGACTCTTAGGAACATTTTACTTTATTTTTTACTTTCAATATTATAATAACAAAGTTTGTTAACAATTTAATCTTTTTCTGGTCGTTAAAAATTTATTTCTCCTATTTTTTTAATATGAATTTTTGCTATATTTTTTGTATTAGCTTATCACTCAATTTTCTTAATAAAAAATGTACTAAAACGTTTTACAGAGAAATAAATAAAGTCAGTTTTGCCCTAATTTAGTAATTTTTTAGTCCAGTTTAAGGCAAAAACTTAGTTTTTAGCTCAAGAGCGTTTTTAGAGCTAGAAAATAACTAACATTTTTAATGAAATTTGTTAATTTTTCGTATTATTTTCGACGAAGATTTTACAGAATAATTGTGTTTTTTGCTAAAGTGTAGTCTGATTTAGCAAAATTTTTCGAAAAAGCTGACCTTTTAACTGAAAAAATTGCTTAAACACCTGAAAAAGACAAAGAGATAATTTTCAATAAAATTTTGTCATTTTTTGTTGTATTTTTGAATAAATTTCTCTTTAATTATTGCGCTTCTAATTTTAAACGTACTAAAACACTTGAAAAAGGCAAAAATAATGTTATTTTTGGCTTTATAAAACGATTTTTTGACCCAATTCAGCAAAATCTTGGGAAAAAAGAAAGTTTTTATCTAAAAAACGTTCTTTTAAGCGCTTGAAAAGTATTAAGTATCACCATTTGAATAGTTTTTGCACTAATTTGTCTTATTTTTACTCCTTGTTTCGAAATAATTGTTATTTTTACTGAAAATTAATTTTGTTGAAAAATCAATCAATCAAATTGTAGTTCACATTTAATTTAAAATTGACATTTAAATAATTACATTTATTGTAGATTTTAGATAAGATATTCATGAAAGTTTGCAATTTTTATTCCAATTTGACTCATTCAGCGACCTCGGAATGAACATTTGTTAAAAACTTTAAAAAATTGGAATTAAAAAATCAAAACAAGTTAAAAACTAAAAAAATTGGACCAAATTCTAACACCTCTAATATTTTTTATTAAAATTAACGTCGACACGTGTTTCGTCGATCAAACTGACATCATCGGGACCAATTATAATGCAATCACAGAAAAATAAAACAAATAAAATCACGATTTTTTTATTTTTTAGAGCTTTCCAGCATGTCGAGGCCGTTGATCTTCCTGGCTCTAACTTTAACAGTCTTCTTCTCTGTGGCGAGTTCTTCATCAGACAGTCCTTGTCGGCGCGAAAAATTCAAGAGTTACGAAGATCTCAACGTCTACTTGGCATGTGTGAAGATGCAAGCTACAATGAGGTACCAAATAAAAAAAAAACTAAAAAAAATTAATTAATTTTTTTTTAATTTTGGTGTTTTTAGGTACGGTAAACGGGCCCCCCCGTCCCTGCTCCTCCGCAAACTCCAGCCCGATGTCTTCACCGACTACGAGAACGATTTCCCAGCAATTTCCAACATGTTATACGGCGACAACTAAAACTTCTTCTCACCACACAACACAGTATTATGTTTATATGATTTTTGTGTAGTTTCGAATTAAGTTTGGGCCATTTTCTCAACGTTTATTTAATGTAGAACGCTTTAATAAATAAAAAGACAAGTAAAGTTTTCAGAATCATTTTTAACTGAAATGTCAATAAAATGTTAGTCACAATAATAGAAAATTACGCATCATGTCTCGCTGTATTTTATTCGCTTCTGTTTATTTTCTTAAAGTTTTCATACTAAAAACGATGAAATGAGGATTTATGGCCTTGTTTATTACGAGCAGACATAATAATGACCTTTTTATTCGTAATGAGAGATTCCCAATAGAATTGCTGAGTTAATAAATTAACGGAACTTCCGCAACTCCACTCTTGTTTCACGAAAAGATAAAACGCTGTTTGAACAACAAAATGCGTTATTTTTTTGATAATTGCCGGATGAATGAAAGATAAAGAAAAAATGTCGATTAAAATGCGAAGCAGTGAAAAATTTATCCACGGCTTATTCGGCTTAAAAGTAATACAATGTTATTAAAAATTTGATAAAAGTTAAGTCATTTTGCTGATATTAACTTCAAATTTAGATAAATTTAAAAAAGCGGATACAGTTATTTTCGTTACAGTATATTTTAAATAAAACGAGAAAGGGTAATAATATATTGTCCATAATAATATAAATCATTGACGATTAGTGTGTGTAAACCCTTAATCGGCAATAAAGTACTATGATGATAAATCCCTATAAAAAGCGATGATTGTAATGGAATTGTGTAGATAATAAGTGTATGTGACGATGAGATTTTTCGTCACAATAGCCCTTTTGGGTCTTAGTACTTCGGTATTTGCGAGTCGTAAGTGATTTCAACATTTGGGGGAATAAAAAAATTAATTTAGTAATTTTGAAGCTCCCAATCATTTGTGTCCTGCTGTGGATGGTCCAGATTCTGTTTATATTCCACATGAAGACTGTCGAAAATTTTGGCAATGCTCAAATGGAGTTGCTTATAAGTTTGATTGTCCAACGACTACAGTTTTTGATCCAAGTTTGAACGTTTGTGTTCATGAATGGCAGTATAATTGCAAGGGGAATCCCAGTTCCACTAAACCAACGGAACCAGCAACTGAAAAACCCACTGAAAAACCAACTGATGCTTCAAGCAAGAAACCGACTGAAGAACCAATTGAAAAAACCACGGAACCAAATAAGGAAACCAGTCCAACTCGTCCAAGTAAACCAACACGACCACCATGTACGTCGTCACGGCCTACTAGACCTAGACCAACAAGACCACAACCCACAAGGGTACCAACTGAAAAACCAACGGATAAACCTACCAAAAAACCAACTGAAGAACCAACTGATGCCCCAAGCGAGGAACCAAGTGGAAAGTCTACAGAACCAAATGAGGAAACCAGCAAAGTGACAAACATTCCAACACGTCCTACAAAACCATCACGTCCCACTAAACCCACTCGCTCACCATGTACGTCGTCACGGCCTACTAGCCCTAGACCCACAAAACCACAACCCACAAGGGTACCAACTGAAAAGCCTACTCAACAACCAACGCAGAAACCCACTGAAATACCAAGCAAAAAACCAACTGAAGAACCAACTGCTACTCCAACTGAGGAGCCTGCCAAAGAACCAACTGATGCTCCAAGCGAGAAACCAACTGTAGAACCAAGTGAAGAAACTAGCAAAGTGACAAACACTCGTCCAAGTAAACCAACACGAGCACCATGTACGTCGTCGCGGCCTACTAGACCTAGACCAACAAAACCACAACCCACAAGAACACCGACTGAAAAGCCTACTGAACCACCAACGCAGAAACCCACTGAAAAAACAACGGAAAAACCAACAGAAGAACCCACTAAAAAACCCACTGAAAAACCAACCGAGGAACCCACTGAAAAACCAACGCAGAGACCCACTGAAAATCCAACGGAAAAACCAACAGAAGAACCCACTGAAAAACCAACCGAGGAACCCACTGAAAAACCAACAAAAAAACCCACTGAAAATCCAACAGAGGAACCCACTGAAAAACCAACAAAAAAACCCACTGAAAAACCAACAGAGGAACCCACTGAAAAACCAACTGAGAAACCAACTCGTCCAGATAGCAGAGAATCTGGGGAAAGTGGCGAAAGGTCAAATGAAAGTTCCAACGGTTCCAACAGTGGTTCCAGCAGTGGTTCCAGCAGTGGTTCCAGCGAAAGTAACGAATCATCAGAACTAGGGTTTGGTTCGGGTTGAGGCAAAAGAGGACATCAAGATGTTAGCGCACAAACTGAATAAATATGTATTTATTTAAAACAAAATTTGTTTTTTTGTTAGTATGTTTTATGAAAGGTAAAAAGTCAAAACGGAAACTACAATTAAACCATTAAAAAAATATTTCCCACAATTTCAGTTATCTTAATTTAGATAAGTAAAATAGCTCAACTTTTCCCCAAGCCCATAAATTACATTTATCGATAATTCTATAAATCTAGTATTTTTAGAATTGACAAAATTTATTAGCTCACCATATTGTTACAAAAATTTTCTTAAAAATTTTTATCTGAAAACTGTTTGTCCACAAATTTGTTTTCAACTGATAACGGAAAACTTGTCTACGAGACGATAATTGAAAAATGTTTTTCTCAATGTTGCACAAGATGTCTTATACATTATCTTATTATCTTATACAGGGTGAATGTAAAGTATGGAACCAAGGGGTTTTATTTTTAATCATTTGCCTCCAGAAAATAATAATTAATATAAATTAGAGTAATATAAAAAATGTGATCGTATTTTCAGAACGAAATTTTGTTTTGTTTTTGAGTTATGCGATTTTTTTTGTCAAAACTGCAATTTTTGTGAAAAATTTTTTTTTGAAAAAAATTAATATATAGCAGATAGTTGTAATCCTTAGAGTATAGCTTTTATGAGAAAAATATTTTTATAGCGGGTTGCCATTTAAAAAAATATTTTTTTTTGTAAAACTCAAAAACAAAAGGACATTTCGAAAAATTTTATTCTTGATAAAACATCACATTTTTATAGTACTTTATCACTCATCAATTAGTTTTTTGAAAAAAAAAATTGTTTAAGCAAAAAACCTTTGGTTCCATACTTTTTATTCACCTGGTATATGTTTTTTTTTTAATTATTTAGTAAAAGTACAAAAATTTTGCGAATAAAAGCCACAAATAACATGAAACAGTGTTATAATTTAGGATATAGCTTTCTTGTTTTCCCTTCTAATAGCCTGTAGCAAAAAAAAAAAATTTTTACAACAAAAATAAGTAGAGTCAAAGTGCAAAATTTAAACTCTCATAACTTGGAAATTTTTATAAATAAAATTTTTTTAACACTTTTTCCATGTTCCTGGTACATACCTTACATGGCATTTTTCTCTGGGTCGCGATTTCTGGCGCATCCTGTATTTAACAAAAAACAATTTAGTTTAGTAAATAAAAATGGAAAAAAATCACAATAAACGCAATAGCGTTAAAAATTAAATAAAACTTTGCACAGGTGCAAAATTCACTAAGTTGTATTACTTATTACGTACTGATTATAAAAACTTAAATCCTTTAAAGCAATAACAGTACATTTTTTTTAATTAATCCTATAATTGACTATTAACCGCTTGTTTTTCTTACAAAAACTTTAATCCTTTATTTTTTATTCCTATTCTTTTTGATTTTTTATTTTTCTATATATTTTTTATTTCTTATTTTCTTTATTAATTTTATTGCATAGTTTCTTGACAATTTAAGTTTTACTTTCCTATCTAAAATTTATAGTTGTTTATCTTTTAATTTCTTCGTCATATAAATGTCTAGATTATCAGTAATCTCTTAGAACAATGAACAAGTTCGAATTCCATAAAAAGTTATAAAAGAATAAAAACCAGACAGTAGTTCAATCATTCTTTTGGGATTCGTAGAAGTACTCCAGTATTTGACGATCATAGAAGATGAAAGTGTTTTTAACAGTTATTTCCTTGTTTTCTCTTGGACTAGCAAGCTGTGAGTAGTTAAAATACATTCTGGAACTTGGAAAATAATCTGTTTTTCCAGCTCCTTCAGACTCGTGTCCAACAATCGACGGTGCATTTCCTGTATATTTACCGCATGAAAATTGTGGAAAATATTATGAGTGTTCAAATGGTGTAGCATATTTGTTTGATTGTCCAGCTGGATTACACTGGAATGTTAATAAACTCACTTGTGATTGGCCACATGATGCCGGATGTGAAGACAAAAATGAAGAAAGTGAGGAATTTAAAACGGATTTTTGAAGTAGGAAAATAATGTGTTTTCCAGATCCTTCCAGCTTGTGTCCAGCAGTAGATGGAGCTTTTCCTGTATACTTACCACACGAAGATTGTGGAAAATTTTATCAGTGTTCAAATGGTGTAGCGCATTTGTTTGATTGTCCAGCTGGATTACACTGGAATGTTGATATTCTCACTTGTGATTGGCCACACGATGCCGGATGTGAAGGCAGACATGAAGAAAAAACAACCACTACATCTACAACCACAACAACAACAACAACAACAACTCAACAACCACCTGAAGAAATTACTACAACTGATCCAAGAACTACGGAAGAAGGAAGTGGAGATGACCAAAACGAGACCACAGAAGACAATAATGAAAACACAACCAAAAATCCAGTATCTGAAGAAACATCACCAAATGATGATACAACTGAAAATCCGGTTACTGAAGAAACTACCTCGAAAAAACCTGTAACGGACGGAGAATTGACAACAGACGATGATTCGGATGTGACTGAATGCACACCTGAAGAACCAACTACAGATGATGATGACAGTGAAACAACTGAAAAAAATGTTACAGATGATGATAACAATTCTGAAAACGTTACTGAAGATGGAGATGACGAAACTACCGAAGAACCTGTTACAGATGACGATAACAATTCAGAAAACGTTACAGACGATGACAATAATAAAACCACAGGTGATGACGAAACTACCGAGAAACCTGTTACAGATGACGATAACAATTCTGAAAACGTTACTGAAGATAGAGATGACGAAACTACCGAAGAACCTGTTACAGAAGACGACAATAACTCAGAAAACGTTACAGACGATGACAATAATGAAACCACTGACGGTGACGATACTACCGAAGAACCTGTTACAGATGATGATAACAATTCTGGAAATGTTACAGACGATGACAATAATGAAACTACAGACAATGACGAAACAACTGAAGATCCTGTTACAGATGACGATAACAATTCTGAAAACGTTACAGACGATGACAATAATGAAACCACAGACGATGACGATACTACCGATGAACCTGTTACAGATGACGATAACAATTCTGAACATGTTACAGACGATGACAATAATGAAACTACAGACGATGACGAAACAACTGAAAATCCTGTTACAGATGACGATAACAGTTCTGAAAACGTTACAGAAGACAATGAAGAATCAACGACCGACAACAGTTCTGAAAATGTAACAGAACCTAACACAACTGAAGAAACAACAGTAACAGAAAAACCAACAACTACAGAAAAACCAACAACCACTGAAAAACCGACAACCACAGAAAAACCAACAACCACTGAAAAACCGACAACCACAGAAAAACCAACAACCACTGNAAAACCGACAACCACAGAAAAACCAACAACCACTGAAAAACCGACAACCACAGAAAAACCAACAACCACTGAAAAACCGACAACTACTGAAAAACCGACAACCACTGAAAAACCAACAACGCAAGAACAGCTTTCAGATGAAGAAATAGTTGATGCCATTTGCAAAGCCAGGCCTGAAGACATTTTCTTAACAGCTCATCCATCCAACTGTCACAAATATGCTGTTTGTATGACTGGAAGATACGTCATTCAAACTTGCCCAGATGGTAACCACTTTAGTCCATCTAGTATGGCTTGCACAAAATCATCAAATGGCGAATGTAATGTCTAATCTATTTCTTAAAGTAAATAAAATGTTTCCAACAATTAAAATATACTCTTAAAATAGACAAATGTAAAACTTTGTTGTCTAGTAACGAAATAAACTTTATAAATCTAAACATCTTGTTTAAAATAATGATGAATAAGCGTAGCGAGTGAAATAAATTTCATTTTTTAAAAGAATTAATTGAGATCAATTGTTTAATAGTATCTAAACTTCTCTTTAATCTCTATGAGTAATTGCAAAAGCTTTCAAAAGACTACAAATTGTAATTAAAAAATATTTTGCTCTTAATTGGCTTAAGATAAATGACGTCTTTTCGACGAAAATCACTTCTATTGCATCACCAAAATCCAAGAAATGACAGGAAACATACGATTTGTAATTTTGTTATCTAACACTTAAAAGCAAATTGTGATAAGAGTAATCGATTTTTACCCAAAACTGGCAAATTTTATCATCATTGTCTCTAGTATCTCCTAGCAAAATGAAGTTCCTAACTGTCCTCGTGTGTTTTACTTTCTGCTTCTTCAATGTTAAATCCGAAGGTTTGTAATTTATTCTTTTAATTGATTATTTTTAATTATTGTTTTATTATAGAAGTGAATTCAAAAAAACTTGATCAAATTAAAGAAATCGCCGCCAAAATCGCCCCCCATGACACCCTCGCCAAATCCCAAAACCTTGACGATTTAGAAAAAATCAAAATTATTCAAAATTTATTAAATGCAGTGCGAAATCAACCCGGTTCTTCGGTAGTAAAAAGCCAAAAATCCGTTGAAGAAACCGTCGATGTAGCCCCACTTATGAAGATGTTGAGCGCCAAAATCGCGACTTCCGGAGAAGTTGCGGAAACGCCTGTCAAAAAACAAGATTTTGAAGATTTGGCGGCGAAAATGTCACCTCAAACTGTGGTTCGAACTCGAAGGGCGAGTGAAGTTAGCGATTTGGAGAAGACTTCTCTCATGAATAAAATCGCATTAAAAGTGGATTCTGTTGGTCAAGTCTCAAGTGTTCGCGAGAACCAGCAGAAGACGTCTCAACTTCTTCACAGTTTGGGAGAAAAAGTCGCAGCTTCGAAAAATTAGAACTTTGTAATTAATTAACTTATTTTAATAAAGTGAGTGAAATCTATTTACGAGCTTTGTTCAAACCTCTAAACTGATAATTTGCACTCGAGAGATAAAAAAGATGATACATTGTGAATGTTGTCACTATTTCTGAATCATGTTTCACGGAAAAAATACTTGAGATAAAAATTTTCCAATCAATATTTTTATTTTTGAATTGTTTTTCACACAATACAAATTTCTAGATCAAATAATAATGATCATAACACTCTTTAAGGAAATAATTGACTTTGTAGCAATTTAAATATTTCGTACAGTCGTAAGGATCTTTTCTCATTGACGAATCAAAATTAGATGAACAAGATCATCTACATCTTTGTATCTACAGTAGTTCAAATAGTGCATTTTTGTTAAATTCTTCTTTGACAACGTCGAATTCTTCCGATTCGCTTGAATTGAACTACTTGAATCACTAGAACTGCTACTGCTTGATGAATTTGAACTACTAGAATCGGATGGATTGCTAGAACTAGAATCACAACTACTTGATGAATTGTTGTCTGTGATTGTGGAAGGTTGTGGGGTAGAACTATACAGGGTGATTCTTTTAGGGCCTACATTAGAAACTTTTTAACTTCTAATGCAGATAAAAATTTGAAATTTTGTACACAACCTAAATCGACCAGTCTGAGTTCAACTAAATTATTTTCAAAACTTCGAGAAATTGGCGCCAACTTTGAAATTTCAAATGGTATTCACTTATTTTTATTGCATTTTTGAATACTCTTCTCCAAACTGAGTAAAATGTACCTAGTTGTTAGTACTTATCTGTTATAGTTTTTGATATATGTCAATTTTTGGTAAAAATTTTTATTTGCAGGGGTTCACTTAAAACATTACAGCTCTTGAACCCTTTGCGATAAGTGAATAATTTTTTTGGATTCACTAATCAAAAGTTTGAAGAGTTTTCTAAAATTTTTAGAATTGTCAACTGTTAAATTGCAAAGCTAATATGATTTTTTGAAAATGATGATTAACAAACAGCTTTTTCAAATAAAATGACCCTATTTTTTCAACGGCAATTGAAAGTACATCAATTTATAGAAGGAATTTTATCAACAACATGTCCTATACCCATTTCTTACAGTTTTTGAAATAATTACAAAAAACATGTTTTTGTTTTTTTATTATCAAGAGCTGTGATGTTTTGAATGAACCCATACAAATGAAAATTTCTATTTAAAAATTGATATACCAGGTGAATAAAAAGTATAGAACCAAACGTTTTTTGCTTAAAACTATTTATTTTTTGAAAAAACTAATTGATGAGGGCTAAAGTACTATAAAAATGTGATGATGTAACAAAAATAAAATTTTTCGAAATTTTCTTTTATTTTTGAGTTCTAGAAAAAAATTTTTTTTTTTTAAATGGCAACCCACTATAAAATCATTTTTCTCATAAAAGCTACACTCTAAGGATTACAACTATCTGCTTTATTTTTAATTTTTTTACATAAATTGCAATTTTGACAAAAAAAAATCGCATAACTCAAAAACAAAACAAAATTTCGTTCTGAAATTACGATCACATTTTTTATATTACTTTAATTTATATTAATTATTATTTTCCGGAGGCAAATGATTAAAAATAAAACCGCTTGGTTCCATACTTTATATTCACCCTGTATGTAATAAACTATGACAGATAAGCACTAACAACAAAGTACATTTTACACAGTTTGAAGAGAAAAATTCAAAAATGCAATAAAAATAAGTGATTACCATTTGAAATAATTTGTGTACAAAATTTCAAATTTCTATCTGCATTAGAACTTAAAAAGTTTCTAATGTAGGCCCTAAAAGAATCATCACCTTGTATAGTTGGTATAGGATTAGTACTAGTTGGTACAACAGTAGAAGTAGTTGGTCTAGTTAGTCTAGAAGATTCAAAGTCGCCGACCAAAAAAGTGCAAAAACATCTTGAGTTGAATACAATATTTTAGCAAATTTTCTTTAAATGGAAAAATAGAATTTCTCAACAACAGTGATTCAAACAGGGTCAAATAACCATTTTTTTTAATTATTTTAAGTATATTTAGATAAAACAACTCTTGATTATCTTATCGTTTGACGATCCAACAAGGGAAAAACACTGTGGTGGAGAAGAAACACATAACTAAATACTAGAAAAATTTGATTTTATTATATATTTACAAAGTTTCACATTTGGCATAAGTGGGAGGAACACAAATGCGTATAATTGAATGGAACATGTACTTTTGGGGGCAAGTTTTCACCAAATATACTCCATTGTAGCAATTCAAATATTTAGTGCAGTCGTAAGGATGACCTTTCACTGAAGAAAGAGAATCAGAAGTGCATTCCTCTCCTGCAAGACTATCAATTCCTTCAAAAAGTATTTTAGAAAGTATAGTTTTGTCAAATTTGGAACCATTAGATTCTGTTAAATCTTCTTCAGATTCGTCCAAATGTCGCTGGTGGTGCTGATGGTGGTTATCATGGTGGTCATCATGATGATTATCATGGTGGTCATCATGATGGTTATCATGGTGGTCATCATGGTGGTTATCATGGTGGTCATCATGGTGGTCATCATGGTGGTTATCATGGTGGTCATGATGGTGGTGATGGTCATGATGGTGGTGGTTAGACTCGTCAGAAGAATCATCAGAATCCCGTGAGGAATCATCAGATTTGCTCGAATCTTCGGAATCACTTGAGGAATCATCACTAGAGTTGCTTGAATCATCAGAATCATCACTTGAGGAATTGTGATCAGTGGTAGTTTTGTGGGTACTACTAGTAGGTTTCCAGGTGGGTTTTTCAGTGGTCGAATGGGTGGGTTTTGTACTTTTGGTATGATGAGTTGGGTCTTTGGTCGTCCTTGTGGGTCTGGAAGAATGGGTTGGGTGTTTGGTTGACTTTGTTGGGCGAGTAGAACTAGTAGAATGGGTTGGTCGCGTGCTTGCACTAGTCGAGTTTGAGTGGCCTGTACTAGTTGAAAGTGAACTACTACTAGAAGTTGATTCTGAACTACTACTAGAAGTGGTAGGTTCAAGAGTTGGAGTACTAGCAGAACTTGAACTTTCTGAAGAAGTTTTTCCCCTGCAACCCGCTTGTTCGGGATAATCGCACACATTTATTTCAGGGTTGAAGTCTAGTCCATCTGGACATTCCAGAAGATGGGGGGTACCATCGTGACATTCATAGAATTTGCTACAATCCGTTTCGTGGGGAAAATACACCGGAGTTGGGGGATCAACAGCAGGACAAACAATATCTAAAAAATCAAAAGTCTACAATGTAAAATATGTATAAATAATAATTAATAAAAATACCCACCGGTTGTGTCGGCCAAAACACCGCAAAGTGTGACCCCAAGCAAAAATAAAACTTTTATCATCTTTATTTCTCAATCAAATAAACTTCTGATCTACTAGACTTTCTAATTCAAGCCTTTTATAATAATTTAAGGTGATAAAAACCACTTTGTCTCCTTTGATTCTAATCACCGTTGAGTTCATTTTCGCGGTACATCAATTCTGAATCATAAGAAACACATTTTTTCGAAAAAATACATGTGATAAAACATAATTTTCTGTAAAACTTTGATAAGATAGCATCCTTCAAAGCATTTGAACGAATTTATCACGTGCAAAAATTAGTACAGGTGATGGAAAGTTAATGTAAATTAAAAAGTTAGATAAGCAAGAAAGTTAAAAAAAGAGTTTTAAAAAAGAATTTTTTTTTAATTTAAGCATTTCTTTAAGAAATTTTTAAATGTTTTTTTGCAAGTCTAGAAATTTTTTAATTTAGTACATCTAACACTTTCTTCTCCTCCACTGTCTTTTGCAACACGATGTTTTAAAAAAGTCTTGATTGACATTTTTTTAAATTTAAGTATTTTTTAAGAAATTTTTAAATGTTTTTTGCAAGTTTAGAATTTTTTTAAGTCGGTACATATTTTTTGACATTTTTTTAGTCTCCCCAACTGTCTTTTGTAACACGAAATTTTGAAGAAAAGTCTCAATTTACATTTTTTAAATTTGAGCATTTCTATTTAAGAATTTTTTAAAATCTAAACATTGTTTAAACTGGTATTTCTAGACACTTCCTTAGTCTCCCCCAATGTTTTTTGCAATACGATGTTTTAAAAAAGTCTCGATTGATATTTTTTAAATTTAAGCATTTTTTATGAAATTTTTAAATGTTTTTTGCACGTTTAAAATTTTTTAAAAGTCTCAATTTACATTTTTTAAATTTGAGCAATTCTATTTGAGAAATTTTTAAACATTTTCTTTGCAAATCTAGATATTGTATAAACCGGTATTTTTAGCCACTTCCTTAGTTTCCCCCACTGTCTTTTGCAACACAATGTTTTAAAAAAGTTTCGATTGACATTTTTTTAATTTAAGCATTATTTTAAGGAATTTTTAAATGTTTTTGCAAGTTTAGAAATTTTTTAAGTCGGTATTTTTTGACATTTTCTTAGTCTCCCCAACTGTCTTTTGTAACACGATATTTTGAAATGTCTCAATTTACATTTTTTAAATTTGAGCATTTCTATTTGAGAAATTTTTAAACAATTTCTTTGCAAATCTAGATATTGTTTAAACCGATATTTATAGACACTTCCTTAGTCTCCCCCACTGTTTTTTGCAACACAATGTTTTAAAAAAGTCTCGATAGACATTTTTTTAATTTAAGCATTTTTTTAAATAATTTTTAAATGTTTTTTGCAAGTTTAGAATTTTTAAACCGGTATTTATTGACATTTTCTTAGTCTTCCCAACTGTCTGCAACACGATATTTTGAAAAGTCTCAATTTACATTTTTTAAATTTGGGCATTTCTATTTGAGAACTTTTTAAACATTTTCTTTGCAAATCTAGATATTGTTTAAACCGGTATTTTTACACCCTTTCTTAGTCTCCCCCACTGTCTTTTGCAACACAATGTTTTAAAAAAGTTTCGATTGACATTTTTATAATTGAAGCATTTTTTTAACTAATTTTTAAATGTTTTTTTATAAATCTAGAAAATTTTTAATCCAGTTGACACTTTCTTAGTCTCCCCAACTGTCTTTTGTAACACAATATTTTGAAAAGTCTCGATTGACACTTTACTAAATAAAAATGAAACTCTTAATCCGACAGGATTTGACCACAATGACTAATATAATGTAATATACTATTGTTTGTTGCTTGTAACTTATAAATAAAAAAAAACATTTTTTGAGTTCGTTAAATTATAAATTGATATTTTTTGTTGCATGTAATTGGAGTAAAAAGTGTAGAAAAACAATTTAACATTAGAAATAGTTTATTTTTGTATTAAAACCTCAATAATTTTGTGGCTATGCAACCAATTATATACGCAAGTAAAAAGTACTTTGTTTTTTGTTTGTAACTTGTAATTAAAAAAAAAATTTGACTGCGTCTAATCAAATTATGAATTTATGTTTCTTGTTTGAGGCAATTGCAGTAAAACGTATAGAATTTTATTATGTGGCTATGCAACCAAATATACACAGTAGTCAAAAACGCGTAGGTCGATTGTCATGCGCACTCCCTTTGACATTTCCCCAAATGTCAACAGATGTCACACACATCCTGCGGAGAAATTAAACCGTTCGTCCTTCAATTCGGCCTTTGAAGGATGTTAAATATTTAATTTGTGACGAGTTTCCTCTCCCGCTCCATGACTTGATCACATCCACGTTGAAAACCAAAAAATGGGATCACAGAGCAAAACCCTTTCATATCAATCATAAGTCCGTGAGTAGCCCTCGAAGCCCTTCACTAACCCGGTGTGTGGTTGCCATGTTCTAACAAGGGGGCTGTCATGGCTAGCTTCGCGGCGCAGGCCGCCCTCCGGGCCAAGTGGAGCTCGCTGGTGGAGGAGCACAGCATCGAGGTGCCCCCCGAGGTGACCAGCAAAGTGACAAGTGTGGTCGGCTGGCTCAAACAGGTTTGCATGCCAAAAGCTTTCATTATCGCTCATTCGCGCTGCTTGTCTTGCTGTCTTCGGTGGGGTAATTGTTGTGATTTTGGGTGTTGCGAAGGCGTCGCTGGAGGTGCGAGCGGCGGGACGCAGGGCTGTCAATACGCTGGCCGGGGGCATGGCGCAGCATTTGGTCATTCTGCATTTCAACGATGTGTACAACGTGGAGCCGAGACAGGGGCCGGAGCCCGTGGGGGGCGCAGCGAGGTTCTGCACCGCCATCAAGAGTTTCCAGCATTTGCATCCTCTGGTGCTCTTCAGTGGAGATGCCTTTTCACCCAGCATGTGTGAGTAGTGGGGGGCGATTGATTTTCATAATTGATTTTATAATCACTTTTTTGTCATTATTTTCTAATCTTTCGTTGGTTTATTTTTAGACAAATTTGTTTTATTTTTAAATCTGCTATTTTAGTACTTTTACGTAATGATAAAAATTGCTTAAACTTATTGTCAGATCAAAGACTCTATTTCAACAGAGTAAAACCAAAAACGTCTCCAGTGGCTTCTCTTAAAATATCTCAGATTTTTTATTTTTTTAAAAATACATACATATACTCGATTTATTAAATAAATTATACTTTTTATTTTGTCGTATTTATCGATTATTTTTTTTTTAATTACGAGCCGCCACTGAACATTTGTTTTACGTAATGATAAAAATTGCTCAAACTTATTGTCACATCAAAGTTTTATTTTTTACAGTTTAAGGCATTATGTAGAATTGTAGACTCTATTTCAACAGAATAAAACGCTTCTCTGCCACTGGAGACGTTAAAATATCTCTGATTTTTTATTTTTATAAAAATACA